ATGAAACCGGTCGCTACGCTGGTATCACTTGATCGTTTTTTTTAAACACCTGTTTCTGTCTAGGATACTGCCACAACCTCTTCAAAAGTCTGGCAACAAGACACATTCGTAAAGCGTTTCTTTCATGCCTTGAAGACGGCGTTTAGCAGGGCGATACATGGATTCAGGGACAGTACATCATCGTGTGTCTTGGACAGGGTGGGACTGTGGGAGTGAAGCACTTCACCAATGCCGGTGCACGGGCGTGCGTGGGCGGGCATAGAAATCTCGGAACACATCAAGGATCGCACCACGGCAACTTATGGCAATACACACACGGATATCAACTGTAATGATTATAATTGCTGTAGGGGCCAGAAATAGACGCGCTGTTACTACCAGCTATCTCACAGCGTCTCTGTTGATTAAACACAGCAACCATCGTCAGACGCTGTCATGCATGCAAAAATTGTCAAAAGATCCCCCTTTATCTGACACTCCGTGTCTGTCACCTATCACGTACTGACACTGGTGCACCGGTTCAGTGGTGAAACGAAAAATCCCTCAGCTTCACAAGACACATGTAAGACAAGCTGAAGAAAATGACTGTTTCTTACCCATCACCTAACAAGGAGCAGATTTGAAGCAGGTGGGGATTTTCTCAACCAATGAAACAAACCACCAAGCCACAAAAGGTTTTCATCAACAAATCGGATACACGAACACGGCACGGACAACGAAATTATGGAGAGTTTGTCTCCACCCCCCACCCCCACCCCCCGGTCGTAAAGTGAACTGTCCCCACGCCTCAGGATGCAGCCCACGGTCTCTAATGTGGATAATTAGGAGTTATGGCATCGTTACTGTGCGTTGCCACGCGCGGAAGGCATGCCACGGGCCGGGGAACACTCACTCTAATGCCTTGTTGTTGGAGTGTATTCACGGGGAGATAAACTACTTGGTTCTGCTACTGATTTATCCGAGTTAATTTAGCTTAATAATTACCTGCAGGAAGTGGACTAACGTCTAACCGGTTAGAGGAAAGGAAGGCACCTCGGGATATAAAATTGCGAACTATATTTAAGACATGACAGGACTTGTAGATGGGAATAGGGGAAGAGGATATTTTTGTACCCAAAGCTGCAGATATATGCATCTATCGTGTGTGCCTAAACTGTGTACAGGTCGAATGAAACATGTCTTGGTTGTGAAACACGTTAAAGTATCGTGATCTCCAAAATTATGGAGTATAATTCATCTTTGAAACTAGTATCGTTGTCATAATATTTCTGTGCTGTGTGGGCCAAACAGAAACTCCCGTATACAAGATAATTGGTGTAGGAATAGAACAGTGGTGACACATAATATTTTTGGATCTTTATCATTCATTCGGATAATTTCATTCTCTATAGATAGGAAAGTTAGGTTAGGAAAAAGGACAAGGCATTACACCAGATCATATAATGGTAGAGATTTACAGTATGGCCGAGGAATTGCTTTAGCCATTCTAATCAGACTACAAACCAATGTTCCAAACTTCCAATCCTGTGCCCTATGGCCTCTATTTTCTAGTCTCTACCAGACTAACTACGCTGGTTATATATAGGAGAATATTTGCCAGGAGAGTTTGGCCGCCTTGTAGGTTTGACTTCGGAGGGAAAGAAACCGCGGCCGGACTCCCTTGGCCAATTTTACTCTCTCTTTTGCCGAATTCTACGATCCGTATTCCCGTAGAGAGGCCTGGTGGAGGCTAACTATTTTCTGCCATGAACGAGTCCTACCTTTAAAATGTGTAAACACACCGTTGTTATTTCTTGTGTATGTAGACGTCATAGCTCTGCTATCCACGGTTGTACCAGTTGTTAATGGACAACCTGACTGTTGCCAAACGACCATTATGTTCATATTGAACGTGCAGTATACGGTTTCTATATTTGTCAGTCATTCAAGGTTTTTCGTGGAAGACTTTCCTATCTGCACTTGACATTTGTATTCAATTCAGGTCCGAATCTTACTCTACTGTTTGACGTTGCATCGAGCTTTCAAAATATTTTTTTTTGGAAAAATGTGAATCGTAGCCTACAATGACAAAAGTTAGAATATTGTGAGATGTTGTATATATAGCTCAACTATATTTGTGTATTGTTTATAGTTATGATCTTATCGCATTGTTGTATAGTATCCAAGTCTGTCTGACATTGAACTGATACATTGTGAAAAATTACAAAGGAATATATGATTCTAAAGAAATTATGCATTGTTAACTTGGTCGTTATTGTAAATTTAATGCAAATGTAGGTAATCAGTATTTAAAGTGTCTAGCAATGGTCGATCTAAATCACGTTACCAGGTGACTGACCTAGTACCTATACATATTCAAGCGGAGAATATTACCTTCGCCAAGAAGGTTATGTTTTCAGTATTGTTTGTCCGTTCGTATTTCTGTCTGTTTGTGAACAGCATAACTCAAGAAATGAAATGCTTTGTACACATTGTAATGAAACTTGGTAGGTGGGTAGGTCTTGATAAGACCTAGAAATTATTAGATTTTGGGCCCCCTGGCGGCTTTCGTTGGTACTGCAGCAAAACTTCCGGTTTTTATATCTCATGACTTGGACATGGCGTCACGAATATTAAAGGGCAGATAGTTCTTAGGCTAGGGAAGAAGTGACAACAGTTTGGGCCCTCTATGTATAATTTCGTCAATAGGAAGTTAAAATCATTTGACGAAGGTATGAGATCGCGGAACTCTTGTTGACTCTTCGTTCAAATCTGAACCCAAAATCTACTACTCTCATCTTCCTATCCTCTAGATATGACCCCCGCCACCACTACTTTTAAAAACACACATGCACACAAAACCCGTGAACATCCGTTCATAATGTATTTGCTAAATACAATTCACAAGCAATATCCTCCTCATCACCAGTCAACCCACGCTACTGTGAAATGTCACCTACGAGCAAATTTGAAACTAATACGATTGAGGGCAAATCTCAAACAGTCGCCTGGGAGATGTACAGTTCTTTACAGCTTTATTTTTGGCAGACGACGGTACTTGACTCGTAGCTTGCTTACTCTTCACTCCTGCGTAAGGTGATTATTTGTAGTACTTATTTTTGGCGCTGTTATTTTATCCCTGTGTTTGACTTTACTGTCAGTCTGTGTGCACTCTCTAGAACGTCGACCTTGTTTAGCCTCCATAGCATGCCAAAAACTGGCCATGGGGGTTTAGGGGGTCTTCAGGGTCTTTGAGAGCTTTTATGTGCTATTTTCTGACTGCATATAGACAACATAGCCGGCCTGGTTGAATTACCCCCGTTTTTTGAGCTGGGCTGATCAGAAAACAGCCAAAGACCACCAGACCCCCAGTTCTATAAGCCTGCTACGGAGGATACCGAATATGCCAGTAGATCTAAAAGGAACAGGTGTCGGCATTATTGCGTTCCTTCAACACCGCATCCCGTGTAATTCCGGCCCTTATAACTCTAACTACGCGTTAATATGCACACACAAGAGACTGTGACAATAATGGCTATTTTTGAATTCAAGGCCCTCTAGTCCAGTACAGTGTTAGAGCTGTAATTATCACTCTCGAATTTCAAATACGCCTGCTGAGAAAATAATTGGATATAACACATGTCACACGCACGGGCACGCAGTGCGTAGTTAAGCTGTCATGTCTTTTCTTCAGGCGTTTTTTTGGAAAATGCTTCACTTTCCAGACGTCATACGCACACGGCATATATATAGCTCCCGGCAATGAAAGGCAATTGGAAAAGCTGCAGAATTGTACAATTTGGATGGAGTTGGAGGAGGCAGCACGAATCTGCAAGCAGATGTTGTGAGGGAAGATCGCACATACATATGGTGTACCATATACGAGTATATATGTGTGCGATCTTCCCTTATAAACTGCAATGTATGCATATGTATTTAGATAAGACAAATATTGGCCATTTTTTTCAATATCAACATTTAGGACTTGAACATCAATTTGCTTATATATTTTTATTATGTTTACCGAATTCGAAAGAAAACACTTTTTTGCTCAGTTTCCTTCTCTCCAAACACATAAGGTCAACGACCTGAACCAGACCGTCTCTCACCGTGGTAATCAGTGTTGGGTTACATCATGTTGCAATTTTATAGCAGGAGGGATTTAGACTCCTGTCTGACCATATATATGAATGTGTTTGAGGAAGAATTAACAGAGCAGACCACATGCGAAGGTAAACATTATGCATTTGCTTTGCAAATGTTACCTTTCTAGTTTTAACTTCCTTGCTATGTACATAATAAATAAACAATCAACACATATTGTGTGACAATAAGTGGCTGTGCGGTGTCTCTACACTAAGGATGAAAAATATGACCACTTTCTCATATCTAAAAAGCTAGGGCCGTCCTACCTCACATACGATCATGTTTCCAAATCGAAGATAATAAGATTTGAATAAGACGTCACGGACCCACCGATTTTGCCCAAGGGTTACTTTTAGTACTTCAACGCATATTGAAGCTTTAAATTGTATTTCCTCTCTTCTCTACTGTAGACGTACCCGGAATCGCGTAATCGCGACAGAAAAGTAATTGGATCTTGTTGTTCAAAGGGCCCAGTTCTTTATAGTAATGCCTATCCGGCCTGGCTTACTTCACTCTAGCCTGGGTACCATCCGGATTTTCGCTCCGCAACGCTCGAAAATATCCGGATGGTGATTTTTTCGAGCGTTGCGGAGCCAAAATCCGGATGGTATTCAGGCCAACTTCACTCAAAGAATAACGTAATTTACGGAAACTAAAGATACGAGAAAAGACTTCGATGGACAACACAAAGTGTGCTTTGAAGAACACACTAAACTCGTTTTTCACGGAGAAGAAAGCTTAATATGCTTTTCCTGAAGTCACTTTACTAGCTAGATGTAAACTGACTTAAAATTTGTTCAAAGCGAGGGACCGCGCCAGTTACTACTATGCAATACTGGAAAGAATCGCATGGTGTCGCAATAAATAAACGACCTTTGATCGGTCAAAGGTTATTCGTGCAAGTCGGACGATCGGACGACCACTCTGCTACAATGGAGGTAAGAATGTTTCTTTATCTGCTAATCTTCCTAATCCTAATCTCGATCAAGAAAAAGAAATTGGTAAAGTAGGATCTATAGCACCATTTGTACTATTGTGTATCCTGATTTCTTTATGCTTTACTATGCTATGCCAATATTATATGACCTCCTTTCTATGACAAATTTATGACAGAATACAAAGTGCAAATAATGTATGCACGTGGAATTAACCACGCCCATTTCAGAAGTATAATGTTCTTATGATTCTGCTTAAAATCTTAAAACGATCAAGAAGTAGAACCGAAAACATTTGCAAGCAACTATTACATATTTCCCTGTCAGATGCATAGATATCATTGGGACCATTCCATTTTTTTCATTGTGGGTTGGGGTATTTGTTTAAATTGAGCATAGGCTGGACAGGTACCGTATTAAATAAAAAATGTTATTCATCTTCAATGTGTGAATGAAACATTGCAATCATGTGGTGCCGTACTGAAGCATGCATATGGTAACTTATAATTAGTAACTTATGACAATATTTTGCAACATCAATGTTTATCATTTGTGCTGGTCTTATATTATAAGATGCTAATATATATATATAAAATTGAAGTTATCATATTTTGTATAATGTGAGTGTCTTGTACGGTCTTATTGTTGCTTTCCTACAGATTGAGATTCTTCACGCCAAGTCAGGCAAGCAGATAACCTGTCTGAACCATGTAAGTACAACAGTCAAGCTCAGGCAAAAGTCTCTTCAAACAGTTACACATTATTTTTCCATAAGTGTTTTACTTCATTTTCTACAAATTATCATTGCAGTAGAAGTGTAAAGCTAGGTGTAGTAGAATAAAACATCATTCTAGGTCTAATTCTGTCCACAGGTGGACAACTATTCCACAGTTCTGGACCTGAAGAAATGGATCTACAAACAATGTGAGTAGCACAAACCTTGGAACTGGCGCTGAAGCAGCTAAACTATTTCAATTGCTTCTTTGTATTTTGGAATTGTAGTGATCATTGTTGCGATGGTTGCCATAGCTGCCAGCTCTGTGATGATATGCCATGGTTGCTAGCTCTATCTGTAATGGTATCTCACCTCAGTTTGAAGCTTGTTAATATTTTAAAATCATCTCTCACCACAGTTCCCAAGTACTACCCAGCCAGGCAGTCTCTCAGGTTGGAACCAAGTAAGACAGTTATATTGTTTTTCATCCTTCCTTCGAAATTCCTTCCTTTTTTTCCCTCCCTCCCTCCCTCCCTCCCTATAAGTCCGGACTTATTACCATAAAAGACCATTTCACATACGTATACCCCTTTTCTTTCCAAACCACCTAAAACCTCCCGTAGATTGTAAAATCTTTGCTGCAAAACGAAGAAAACATTGCCATCGGGCATCGTCAAGTACCGGCCTCCATGTTACGTAACCAAAGTTTCACCCAGACAACATTGCAAGGTTGCCAACATGCAATTTTGTATATGCCATGGGTTTAGGTCTTGACTTTAATACAAGTCCGGAACTGAACCTAAACCTCTGGACTTGAATCCGGACCTGAACCTAAAATTGGGTTTAGGTATGCATCACTACTACTGAGTAAATGGTCTCCAAGTCTCTGTCCAAGTTCAAGTACAAGAATACTAGTACATCAATCACAGACCCATATATTGAATGAATCATTCCAAGTGAACTGTTTTGTTCCTCCACAGAGGGGCGTAACCTGAGTGATGAGGAGACAGTTCGCTCGCTGGACCTGAGAGTGGGCGACAGAAAACTGTACCTGAGGGACCTGGGACCACAGATCGGCTGGAAAACGGTCAGGAGAAATGCCAAAGTCTTGGACCAGTCTTAGTCCTTAACGCTTTCTAACTGAGCCTCCTTAAGGATAAACAATAACACAAGCTTCAAGGAAAGATAAGTCAAGTCAAGTCATAGTGTACATGTGTAACTTATGATCATCAAATACGTGTATGTTATTATGTTTACCGAAGTTTTTTTACTCAATTTCTTCCTCCTCTTCTGTTCCAAACACTAACTTCTGACCTGGCCAATGACATGATTTGTTGACATCTGTCACCATGGTGACTGGTGTGGGGTTACATAATGTTGCAATTTCATGGTCTGCTCTGCTCCTGTCACCATATACTCGTAGTACATGTAACGTTATGTGAATGTGTTTGAGTAAAAATTAACAGGGCAGACCATGTTGCAAATGTTACTTCTCTAGTGTAGATTATAAACTAACCCATTAAAATGTCTGTCGACAGGTGTTCCTGTGTGAGTACTCTGGCCCTATTGCTGCATACCTGTTGTTCTACCTGCGCCCTGCCTTCATCTACGGAGTCACTAAGGCAAAGACACACCCTGTTGTACAGTGAGTCGGAGTTTCTTGTTACCGTTCCACTTTTAGTTTCATAAAGACTTATTTGTACTTGGCAGAGCCATCATAATCAAATACCAGATATTACTTCCAGTATTATGGACATTTTTGATTTTCCCTTTTTCTTGTTCCTAGTGGATTCTTTTATCAGTGACAACTTTGGAAGGATAAGGATACTAACCTCCAAATTTTCGATGGCTATCAGTCCATCTTGTTCACGGAGTGGCCTAATCTCGCGAGAGCGCGAGACTAGGCCCGAGACTTGCATCGGTCTGTCAGGTCCCACCCCCCGTCGCCTCCCTCCGAAGTAGGGGTAAGTAGGTCTTGGGGAGCTCCCAACCTTCTGTCCGGTTTAGCTTGGCACCTTCCAACTTCCAACAAGACCTACTTACCCCTACTTCGGAGGGAGGCGACGGGGGGTGGGACCCGACAGACCGATGCAAGTCTCGGGCCTAGTCTCGCGCTCTCGCGAGATTAGGCCACTCCGTGAACAAGATGGACTGATAGCCATCGAAAATTTGGAGGTTAGTATCCTTATCCTTCCAAAGTTGTCACTGATAAAAGAATCCACTAGGAACTGTATCTATACGTGACAAATGAATCTCTTCAACGAAACCCTTTTTCTTGATTTTTGCTACATCATCTGTTTCATATGAACAATCAATCAATCAATCTTTATTGCGCAACAATTGCAATGGATACAATGTATGGCAAGTGTATGGCAACTGCAGTTCATAAAACTGTTACAAACCTTTGCTTCTCAGCATTGCCTTTGCCTGCTGGACCTTCCACTATGTGAAACGCGTGTTGGAAACCCAGTTTGTGCACCGTTTCTCCCACGGTACCATGCCCGTAAGGAACCTGTTCAAGGTAGGGAATAGTTAGTACCTTCATAGTACTAAGTCAGTCACATATCTGTTTACATAGTTATTTACATTGAGGTGTTCACAAACTCATATTTCCCAAGAACTATCGTAGAGCACAGTTGGGGCATCATCACTAGAGAGCTTTAAACAACTCCTGCAATTAAAGTTGCAAAGATTGAGTGTAACAAGTCGTTCGGTGTGATATAGCTAGCTGCCGCCGCACCGTGTGCCTGCGAAGCTGGTGTGTTACACCAAAGGGCAATTATACCGGCTATACTGATACAGATACATACAGAAGCAGAGTGGAACTCGCTGTCACCAAGTACGGTAGGGGCATTATCATCATGTTTAGATTTAGATGTTCAAAGGTTAGGTGTAACAAGTCGATCGGTGTAATGTAGCCAGCTGCTGCCATGCCACATGCCTGCGAAGCTGGTGTGTTACGCCGAAGGGCGGTTATACTGGCTATACAGATACAGATACAGAAAGCTCATTTTTTGTACATATCAAGTATGTCATTCAAGTTTGTGAGTACTCCAAGCTTCACTTTGTTTAAAGTTAAAACTTTTGTTCCAACACAAAAAATTCTCTCACCTAGAGCTTTCGACCAGTCAGTCTGGTCTTCCTCAGTAGACTGACCCAGTGAGGCTTGTCACGTGGCTTCTTTGAAGTGTAACGTCAACACTGGGTCAAAGGTATCTGGTAGACGATGTCAGCCCCCGCCACGGTTCAAGCTTCACTTTCTCATCCAAGTATGATGAAATCTATGAAGACAAATATTGGGTTAGTTAAAGCCCCTCCTGTTTGTTTGTTCCAGAACTGCAGCTACTACTGGGGTTTTGCAGCCATCGTGTCGTATTTCATCAACCACCCCCTCTACACCCCACCTGGTAAGTCATGCAACCTAGCAATATTGTTACTGGTTTGGGAAATGTACATGTATCAAACTTTGCATTGCTTTCCTTTTAATAAGATGCACACTAGTCTTCGTGGTAATGTTAGTTATTATATTGTAAAATCTGTGTTTGAATGTACAATGTAATTCGTTTTTCCCATAACTTCAATTACAAAGTACATGTAGTAATAGTCAGATTGCATTGTATATGTAGGAGTCCTGAATTTTTGCCCCCCTCCCCACCACCTCTCTACAGCCTATGGAGATCTCCAGGTGTACTCAGCCCTGGCAGGGTTTCTGGTCAGTATTTCAAACTCACTTTCATCCCAAGTGTTAATGTAAATAAACTGAGTCACATATAATAAACTGTGTCACATAGGCTTCTAACGTGTTCATACAGTAACAAAGAATAGCTGTGAGTCTGTGACAAATTCAATTTGTAAACAGAAAACTAATATATAGGTATAGTTTTTACCTGTGAGGGTTACATGTAAGTAGGTCTACTGGTTATGTATGCCTTAAAAGATTTTAGTGTTGACCAAATTAAATTGATTTCTTCCATACCTTTCCCTTCTATAACTTTCAGATCAATGAGCTGGGCAACTTGTCCATCCACCTGGCCTTCATGAACATGCGGCCTCCAGGTGAGACACAAAAATAAATTTGTGCATCTTTAAGAGTATGATCTTTGCTTCAGTCTTGAAAGTAAAGTGTTTCAGAAAAAGATATGGTAGGAAAATGTTGAAATTATGATATTTGTAGGACCAATGTAGAAATAATTTTCCAGTACTTCAGGCACAATTTATTATAACAATTGGAAGTAGTTATAGCAACATAAATGAATTGTTAAAGACTAGATATTTTGTTCTTACACAACTGTATCCTTATCTTATTGACCATTATCATTAAAAATTATTGATGATAATCTTCCTTGCAGGCACCAAGACCCGTGCCATCCCGTACCCCACAGGAAACCCCTTCACAGCTCTCTTCAGCCTGGTGTCCTGCCCTAACTATACTTACGAGGTCAGAAACAAGTATACAGATGTCTACACTGTTTGTTTTTTGCATGCGTTGGCAATACAAATGTATGTGGATGTGCTATGGTTTCTACATGTCTCTATCCATGCATGTCCAGACTCATAACTCCTACTGTTTGTATTACCAGGTGGGATCCTGGGTGTGCTTCACCATCATGACTCAGAGCTTCCCAGGTAACCAATCTAAAGTATTTATCATATTAACTTGTTATAGTCCAATCATTATCATATAATAGGCTATAGATGGACTGTCTTGACCATCAGGAACAAATGACATTTCCCTATTCTTGGGGTACATTGAACAGATCCATAATCCTTTGAAGTAGAATGCAAGATACTAGTACATATAGAATACAACACGGGGTATTCCGTATCGGCCGAGGTATTGGCCCGACCGTGGGTCGGATCGCCTGACGGCCGCATGCAAGATGAGCCATAAGTTGGTGCCACTAAACCCTAAAATGCAAGAACATCAATTATTCTAACGTCCAGATTCTGTATTCGAATTTTCAAAAGCAGCACGCGCAGTTAGGGCAAAACGCATTAGAATCGTTCTATGGAAGCCCGTGCCGTGCCGCAAAGTACGGCCCCATTATTGCGACCCGGGTACATGTATGATATAGATGTAGTTACAATGTAGGTACCAGTAACAGCACAACATTTGAATTCACAGTCCTATTGCAGAAGCAAGAATGTTAACCAGCTAGTCTTATAAAATTGTTGTGAAGTTGTACAAGTATGGAGACTTACCAGGCTGGACTATACTGAAGATGTTTCTCTCCTCCACAGCTCTGCTCTTCACCCTGGCTGGGTTCTACCAGATGACCGTGTGGGCTATCGGCAAGCACCGCAACTACCTGAAGGAGTTCAGCAACTACCCACGTGCCCGCAAACCCATCATACCATTCCTTCTCTAACTAACACACCACAGGGCAGGCCATTTACACTGTCAGGACACATCTTTTGGCTCCTAGTCTGTTGACACATATTTTAGCACATGCACTTTTCTTCAGGGTTAGAACCACTAGCCTGAAATGTACAATGTGTTAACGTTTCATGATAGCACTTTGCTAGTCTCAACCAGGCTTTCAGAAGCGGCTGGAAAGAGTATAAATTGGCCAAATAGACAGATGATATGCTAGGCTTGGGAAGTTGTATTCTTTAGTAGACCAACTCCCCTGGTGTGTTATCTACTAGTATTTAGCCAATTTCTACTCTTTCCAGCCACTTCCCAAAAGCCTGGAAGAGGCTATATCAATGTACGTCTTTGCCTGAATTGTGCACAACATTGATTGTAGTGTAGGTATTACCCCGGCACTGCCTATAAATACTGTAGGGACTCATACAGACAGCAGCATATAGTTTCTTGATAGTAGGGCTATTTAAAATTAGCACAAACATAATTTGATAAGGGTTTGTTCGTACCAAGTTGTAGATAATAATCTAACAAGTTTGTTAAGATGAACCAGTGATTCTTAATCATTTCCAACAAAACCCCTGATATCACAGCAAAGTGTAATAAACTATAGATTGTTCTGATGCAGCTAGCTGGGACCACCAATAGGATTGAATGCTCACTGCAGCAAAATCATTTATCTAAGGCCACACCAATTTAATTTGTTGGTTCTTGGATTTTTTAAGAAAAAATATGAAGCGACAGGGCGAAAAAAATAAAAATAAAAACAGGTCTAGGCATCCTATTATAGGCTTAAATGCTACAAAATGAGCCATGAAGTCAACACAAAAGGCTGGGTTAAAATTTAAACATTGAATTTTGAACTTTTAATCAAACGACTGCAATGATAGATGGGAAAACTGTAACAACTAGAAAGGCCAATATTTGTTTTGGAGCAAATACAGCGATGGGTTCACCACATTTTACCACATGGCAGGGAAAGAATGAGAAACACAAGGGAAAACAATGATTTACATTGATATAACTATAATATGAAGTAAAATACAACTAAAACAACAGTTGGATAGCTATTCCCTACTTTATTGGTTAGGATTTTTAATTGCATAATGCAAACTGTTGATTTTCAAATAAAAAAAAACGTCCATGCCGGGCATTCCAATGCTGGAGCAGGAAAGCTTGAAATACCTACCAAAACACTTGAATACAGACATACTGTCAGTATGGAAATGCTTCTGTGCAGGTGTTAATCAAGTTAAATCCCAACAGCCAATCAGCAAGAAGTATAGAGGAAAGCTGCATGCCTATTGGTTGATGCCCTGCATTCCATTGTGATGACTCATGCCCAAACGTGGTAAACAAGGCAAACTAACACAGTAATACATTTGCTATAACACAGC